GGAGCGCGCGTATCGGCGCCGCGGCCGCGTGACGCGTTTTCAAATCTTCAACCGCCGCAGCCCACTCGTTTGTGCTTCGGCTCTTCCTTCTCCGGCCCTGCGGCCCCGGAAACCCGGCAGGCCGACGCGGCATCTCTACTGCGTGGGTGTGGTAGCCCGCGGAAGAGGAGCGGCGACCTGCGGCTCAGCGGGCCCGGAGGAGCCGTGTTTCCGCGGCCGCCCGGCGCGACACCCTCTCCGGATCCAGCATGTAGGTGCCGGGCGGCTGCCATGAACTCCGGAGCCATGAGGATCCACAGCAAAGGACACTTCCAGGGTATGAAGCCCCTCCTCCGCCTACGAGTCCCTTTAATCCTTTCCTCCCGTCATGGTTCCATCATTGATTCTTCTGAGTTCTCGCGTCGAGTCTCTGCTTCTCTTCTGTTCTGACACGTGCGTCCTGCTCTGTGGCCTGAAGGAAGGCTCCGTTCTGGGTTTTGCCTCAGAAAGGGAACGGATCCCGGTCGGCTCCTCGCGCTCTCCACGCTCCACCTCGGCCCCAAATTCCCTGCCGTGCCGTCGGTTATAAAACTAGCAGACAATGTGCGGACCCGGGAACTCGCCGGGGTTCCCCGAGATGCGGCGACCCTTTGGGGCTGCAGCTCGAGTCTCAGTTTAAAAGCAGCTGTGCTCGGGGCTTTTCGCTTCCTGATTAAGTTGGTTAATTGTGGGTGTATTTTTGGTCTCATGAAGTTGAGACCATTGCTTTTTCAGCATTATAGAAACAAAAGCAAACTTCCATTTTCAGTCACTTTATTCGGTGAAACATTTCAGCCTCTTTCTTTTTAATAATGTACATACAATGTGATCTATTCTTTATGAACCGGTTGTGTTCTTAAACTTGATGTTTAAGCAGCTGTTTGGATCTCAGATTTGTTTTCAGAGGAAAGAAGGAAATGAATGGCGATTTGGTTCTTCTGATGGATCTTTAATTCTTCTTAATATATACAGTGACTTTATATGAAACTATACCTTGAGCAGTCAGGAGTCAGGAACCTTTTGAGGACTGAGTCATTCTGGGTAACAGGTTTCTTGCATTATTAAATGTTTAACATTCTAAGTACCAGTTTTGAGTGTTCAGCAGAATGGCAGAAGCTCCATAAATATTTGTTGAGTTAATATTCCATGGCGTTTACATCCTAAGAAAACTCCTTCTAATTGGTCTTGTATGGTTATTTCCCTGCCTTGATACATAGAACATGAATAAACGCATGAATATTTTCTGCAGATTCAACTCTTGACTGTGAACAGTAATCATTTTGCACCATATAGTATCTGTTAAAATGTGTAGAGTATTTGGCCTTTATCTTAAGTCTGTACTAGAAAGACATATATTAAAATGTTAATTAATGGCTGCTAAAGTAGTGAGATTGTGAAGTTTTTCCTCTCTGATATGATTATTTTATAAACAAATATTGTTTAAACAGTAAACATTTTTTTGTCTGCATAAAACATGATCTAATTCCAGATTTTTTTCAACAACAGGTGGAATCCAAGTCAAAAATGAAAAAAACCGACCGTCTTTGAAATCTCTGAAAACTGACAACAAACCAGAAAAACCCAAATATAAGCCACTCTGGGGAAAAGTATTTTACATTGATTTACCTTCTGTCACCATCTCTGAAAAACTACAAAAGGACATTAAGGATCTGGGAGGGGTAAGTCAAAACCATACACTTCGACAAAAAAGTGTAACTAGTACTTTTTGATATGTAACCATTTAAAATTTTCCTTTTTGAATACATATAACCATATAAGCACCAAGCTTAAAATTTTTATCAGCTGTTAATCATTAATGAAAAGTCATTTGTTTTAACCTTTTATAGCCTGACAAAAGTTTCAGGTTTCTGTGATCATTGTCTGGTATAAAGTTCACAAAGTGTGAGAAATGAGACTCCCTTATCCTGGAGGAACCTCTGATTGCAGTGTTGGGATGTCCTTCTGATGGCAGGAACTCCTTGATTCTGATGATTAGGAAGCTACAAAAAAGTAAGAATTTTATTTATAGAACAGGAAAAACCTATTCAAACCACAGAGAATTAAAATCTCTCTTGACTAATATAGTTTCAACAGACTGAGTATTATTAGGTAACAGAATTTTGAATTATAAACATGGAAAACCTGCTTCCTTCCTACCTTATATACACTGAGTAAATGATTAGGAAATTAGAAAATTTGGGTAAAAGTCTAAGATTTTCTTAGGCTTGAGGTTAATATTGAGTAAATTTTAGCAAGTCAGGTTAAGATTTTTATTAATCTGTTTCCTAACTCCTGTTTAAACATTTCACTGCACTTCGAGTTGGTCATAGCTAACATCTTTGAATAGTCTGAACACATCCTACCATTACTAGAATAGAAATTTTCAGAACATATAACAAGTTTCTTAGAATTGTTTATTGGTCTGATTATTTTACTTACTTTTCTTTGAAAAGCTGTTCTACTTTTTTGCTCTTCATTTTCTTAAACTGAAACATTGCCACACATTTGTAATAGTTATAGCATGTATCATAATGGCCGTATGACTGCGTTCCTAAAGGTCATGTTTTATAGCCTGCCACCGTTTAGTAAAGACCCCTTCATTTTAGAAGTTAAGCACTTAATGTCCAGAGAAGTTAAGTGACTGGCCCAGGGTAGGATTAGCCTAGTTCACAGACTAACATGTTACTGCACCATTCTGTTCCTCTAGCAAAAGTGGCTACAAAGTAGCTACCTGATACAGTTTGACAGTTTTCTTAATTATGATGGGAAAACTCATTAACCATTTTGATCTAAATTTGTAATTTTAGATTTGTGTTTTTAGCAGTGGAACCCTTCAAACAAAATCATGTTCAGAAGTCCACCATGTAAAGCCAGTAAAAGGGAACTACTCTAGCTAAAACTGCAGGGACTGCTTGCCATTTCCCCTTTTTCCCTCTTTCATCCTATAGCAGTTCCTGAGGGACTTGCAAGAAACAAATTTTGAATTAATTTATACGTTAGATAGTAATTGGGAGAGAGTTGAAAGTTAGTTTTACACACTTCAGATTTTATCCTAAAAGGTTTGAAGTAGACCACTTAAGTGAGGAGCGTATTAATGGCATAAGTTTCCAAATTTTCCCCCAAAGCTATGGATTTTCTGTTGAACTTGATTTATTACAAATTCTGATCTTCCCTGACACCTTTCCAATAATTCAGTGATGTCCTGATTTCTGTCCCTAGCGTAGTACCATTTCTGTCACTGAAAAAGTCTTACAAAGATCTTGCATGTGAACTGTAAAGGAACTTTGACTTCCTGTAGTACACTAATTTTAGTTTTCAGATTCAACTTTAAGAAATGTTTAGTTAAATAGCTATTCCTTGAAAGGATTATGCTTGTTATTTAGTTTTTAGGATTACTTAGGTCCTTTATCCATTTGTAATTTATCTTGCTTCAGGTTATAAAGAGTATTGTCCTTTTTTTCTTTTAAACTGTCCATATTTATATTTGTTTTCTCTAGTCTTAATAAAAACATCTAAACACACCATTGGATTCTTAAAATCCAATCATTGAGAGCACACCAGTCAAATCAGACATAATGGGGAAATATCTTTGATGGTGGCAAGGAAAGTTGCTATTGCAAAACAACCGACCATATTTAGGTCCATGTCTAAGCAGTCTGAACTAAAATAAGACATTTGGAGAACAACAGAGATGTAGGGTCAGATACCTTACCATATCATGAAGTGAAGACAGAATTCCTTGTTTTTGGTCTTCATTGTGACCTTGAGTTATCAGAAAATAAGTTTCAAGTTTACTTTTTAAAAGACCTAGATCAGCAAAAGCTAATAAAGACCATGATAAAACTAAGTCACCAGTACAGAACGCAGTATTAAGTGCTCTGGCAGATTAAAAAAATGAATCTGATGTCCATCCCACCCTCAATTGCTAATCTTAAGTGGATATGGCATTGGTACAATTACGTGTAATACAACATAAAATGTTAAGAAGAGGGAAAGATTACCTTCAACTCAGGAATTTTGGTAGTCATTTTATAGACACAATTTGAACTCAGCTTTAAAGAATGATTATGATTTGGGCATGTGGAAGTTCATTTAAAAATTCTTCCACTGGTGTCTCCATACGCTAGCACTATTTTAGATTCCGGGGATGCGAAAATAAAATATAGTCTAATCCCGTAGAAATTCTCAGCCCATGGGAACATCAGACACCTAAATAAATTACGGTGTAGCATTGTCACTGTTTGAGTAGAAGTTATGTAGAAATTGTCATTAGAATATGGAAATGATTAACTCTGCCTGTAGGAGTTATAGTAAAGAGAAAGTTTGAGCTGAGTCTTGAAAGCCAGGTGGAATGGACAAACTAAATAGAGGGAAGAGCATATTTAAATTACATGTCTCTGTGATTTGTATGAGCAACTCCTAGTATTACAGTATGACTTGAGCTTGGGATTTAGATGGGGGAAGTGGCAAGAAAGAATGTTACATTGGGGCCAGCGTATGGAAGATATTTTATTTACTACTAAAAAGTTATAGCTCAATCTATAGAAAATGGAAAACCAAAGGAAATGTGTGGTAATAGCATAAGGACAGACAGTATAGACCAATGCAATAGAAGAGAGAACCCAGAAATCCTCACACATATGGTCAGTTGATCTTCAACAAGGGTGCCAAGACCATTTAATGGGTAAAAGGATAATCTTTTCAACAACTGATGCTAGGAAAACTGAATAGCAACATTCAGAAGAATGAAGTTGTACTCTTGCTGTACATCATATGCTCCAGTTAATTAAAAATGGATCAAGATCTAAGCGTAAGAGCTAAAACCATAGAGAAAAGTATTAGGGAAAAATCTTCATGACATTAGATTTGGCATTATTCTTTGGATATGACATCAAAAGCACAGAAGGAAATGAAAAAAAACCAGATAAACTGGATTTAATAAAAACATGAAAGTTTTGTTCATCAAAGGGCACTATCAAGAGGGTGAAAAGACAACACACATAATGAGAGAAAAAAATTTGAAATTATATATCTGATAAGGGATTAATATCTAAAATATAAAGAACTCCTACAATGCAGCAAAAAAAACAACCTGATTGAAAAATGAGTGAAGGACTTGAATAAGCATTTCTGCAAAGAAGATACATACAAATGGCCAGTAAGCACATAAAGTACGCAGTGTCACTAATCCTTAGGGAAATACAAATCAAAACCACAGTGAGATACCACTTCATATCCATTAGGGTAGCCATTATCAAAATAAGTGTTGGTGAGGATATAGAGAAACTGGAACCCTTGTGCACTGTTGGTGAGATTGTAAAATGGTGCAGCTGCCATGGAAAACACTATGTTATTTCCTCAGAAAATTAAAAATAGAATTATCAAGCAATTCCACTTCTGGGCATATACCCCCCAAAAATTGAAAGCAGGGTCTTGAGATATTAGTATACTCATGTTCATAGCAGCATTATTCACAATAACCAAAACATGGAAACAACCCAGATGTTAATCAGCAGATGAATGGATAAAAGAAATGTGGTTTACATATACACTGGAATATTAATTCAACCTTGAAAAGGAATAAAATTCTGATCTTTGCTTATAACACTGATGAACCTTAAAAACATTGTGCTAAATGAAATAAGCTAGACACAAAAGAACACATATAAAATTCCACTTATATGAAGTACCTAGAATTATCAAATTCATACCGAAAGTAGAGATTTCAAGGGGCTGAGAAGAGATAATGGGGAGTTATTGTATAATGGGTACAGTTTTAGTTTAGGATGAGGAATACATTCTGGAAATCGGTAGTGGGGCTGGCTACACAACATTGTGAATGTACTTAATGCTGCTGAATTGTACACTCAAAAATGATTAAAATGGTAAATTTTATGTTATGTATTTTATCACAATTTTTTAAAAGCATGTAGGAGATTGAGCTTCTCTTGAAAAATTAGAACCTCTGGCGGTTCTAGGGCTACATATTAATGAAAATAAAGTATTTAGCATGTAATTGTTCACCTGTATTCTTGCTGGCCCTTGTAGACATTTAAGTTTTTAATTTATGGAATATATAAATGTGGATACTTTATTTAATGGTGGAAGAAAATATTGCTCAGAAAAAAAGGAAGTGGTGATTTGCATTTAACCAAGGCAGCCACTGGCCTTAGCGGCAAATTCTGCTTAATGCTTAGATGAAACTAACTCATCTGTTACATACTTTGCTTTGTTTTTATTACCCTCATTTATATTATGAGGTCCTATGAAAATTAAATATAGCTATTTAAAATAGTTTAGAAGTCTTTCATTTATGCAGATAGTTAATGATTAATAATATTTTTCTACTTAGTTTAACTTTCCTGCCGTTGGATGGGAGTGATCTTCAATAGCATTGACTATGATACATGTGTTTATAAATTCAGGCATTTAAGCAGTGGTTTTCAAACTAGGGAAATTCTCTTCAAACAGTAATAAACTCTTAAGGGTAAAGGTTCCTACCTTTCCGTTAGTTTAAGGCTTATTTATGGAAAGATGTTAATAACTTTGAGAGTTTGAGTTGTGCTGTCGAATACTGAATACTGTAGTCATTAGCTACATGTGGCAATTGAGATTTAAGTTAATTAAAATAAAATATATTTTAAAATTCAGTTGCTCGGTCACATTAGTTACATTTCAAATACTCAGTAGCCACATGTGGCAGTTCCTACCATGTTGGACAATGCTGATAAAGAACCTTTCAATGACTACAGTGAGTTCTACTGGGAAGTGCTACTTTAGAGCATGGGCTTGCATCATAATACCTGTGTCCAAATTCTGTTACTACTGATGTAATCTCAGGCAGGTCACTTCTCTTCAATTTTCTTCTCCATAAAATATGGATAATGTTAATGCCATGGGTGGTTATGTGAATTAAACTATTTAATGTATATAAAGTACATGCTCTTGTTGTGTTATTGGAACTCCCATTCTGAACTCTAGGTTCAGAATAATATAGTATAAAACCACCAATTTAGAAAATATTAAAATGCATCAAATTGACATTTTTTTTTACCGTGCCTAGTGTGTGAAACAGTTCATGATTTACATGACTTACTTAAAAATACTTTGTTTTCCTTTAGCGAGTTGAAGAGTTTCTCAGCAAAGATATCAGTTATCTTATTTCAAATAAAAAAGAAGCTAAATTTGCACAGACCTTGGGACGAATTTCTCCTGTACCAAGTCCAGAATCTGCATATACTGCAGAAACCACATCACCTCATCCCAGCCATGATGGAAGTTCATTTAAGTCTCCAGATTCAGTAAGTCTCATATGTTTTGAGACTCTCAGAAAGGCTATGAGATCTCATAATTTTCAGGAGCAGGCTGACAGCAGAGTTCACTTAGGTAGAACACTATATTAAGCGTAGCTTTCAAGTTGTTAATAAGGTTGCTATCATATATAGAAAGGTGATTTTTCTCCTAATAGTACTTGTGTAGTCAGTCATACTCTCATTCCTAAAATATGCCCTTCCATTTAGTGATGGCTTTTATTTTTAGAGTAATTTACAACTAAAAAGTAATAGCAGGTCATTATTTTAAAGAAGAAATAGAAATCTTTTGTTTGTTTCAGAGCAGGGGTAAGCAAACTATGGCCCATGGGCCAAATCCAGCCTGCCACTTGTGTTTTACAGCGTGTGAGCTAAGCGTGGTTTTTATATAAAGTTTTATTGGAACACAGACATACCATTTATTTATGTATTGACTGTTGCTTTCCTGCTGTAAAGGCAGAATGGGGTAATTACAACAGACTATATGGCCTGTAGAACCTAAAGCACGTCCTGTTTGGCCCTTTAAAGAAAAAATTTGCCAACCCCTGTTCTAGAATTACTGATAGCACATTCCTACCACTCAGTTGCCAATAAGTTGTAACATACAGTGAAGGGTAAATTGAATTGATGTAATTGGGTATAGAAAGGGGAAGAGATTGCAAAATAAAGTGTTTTATCTCATTTTTTGTGGGAGAGGGTGACTTACGAGCGTCCTTCTACTCCGCCATCTTCTCCGTCTCCCCCTTTATCTCATTTTTTGATTGAAGTTAATTAAATGATTTTTAAATATCCTCCCAAACTTATCTACTATAGCCATTTGAGAACCAGGGAAAAATGGGGGCAGGGGAGAACAGGGAAAAGAAAGGAGTTACATAAGCAGTATCATTTGAAAAAGAGACAAATATATAGAAGAAAAAAAGTTAAAGAAGAAACAACCAAGCAAGCGTCATACATTCTTTCTGTTAATGCTTTTATGGAGGGACAAGGTGATACACACCAGTGACTAGTTCCAAATTAATTCCTGCTGATAGCACTTAAACTGCTTTTCCTAGTGTCTTGTTTAAAAAGTGAAACACCATGTGAAAACAGTATATACGGTTTATCCATATTAGATTTTTGGTTAAATAGGAAATTAAAATGTAAACTTACTGTTTAATTTTAGACAGAATTTCAGATCAGCCTATTTTTATTTTTCATGTTGAACAGAATTTACTACAGAGCTGACCTTGGGTCTCATTCAGCTGAGTTTAGTTGCTCCACCAAAAAAAGAAGAAACAACTTTTTAAATAGGAGATCTTATTACAAAGACCCTAAGGAAATCACATTTTATAAAATCACTTTTTACCATACATTTGTTATGTGTTTTACATTTCATATTTGTATTAAGATTTATCTATAAATTTTAACTATATACTTTAGCTATTTTATCTTTAAAAAAAATTTTTCTGGTGAGGCACTATGTTATAACTATATGTTTGATTGTTCTCTGATCTTTTTATAGGTATGTTTGAGCAGAGGAAAATTATTAGTTGAAAAAGCTATCAAGGACCATGTAAGTACAAATTTAAAAAATTCAGTGTATATTCTTTTATTAAAAACTGAAGTGGAGATGTTGTTGAAATCTTCTTTGCCTTGTTTTTAATAGAAAAAGCCTAAATATCAGCATGTATCTCATTTTATATAGAGTAGAACCTGCTTTTCATGAAGAAACATCTCCATCTTGTGGCCTTTTAAAATATTAACTGGATATTTCTGAAGCTAGTGGCATTTTTGTGTTTTTAAAGGAAATAATTTCTTAAAACTCTTAAGTGAAATGCTACAGGGTATGTTAATTGTCAGGAATATGGGAATATTATTAAATAGGAATGATTTTAGACATTCCAGAAGAAAAATCTGATGTCCTTCTTACTATTGTATAGGGTCTGTTCTGAATAACCATCTCAGTGACATTAAGCTTCAAATAATATTTTTAAAAATAGCTCATTTAAAATAGTAATTTCCTAATTACTTTATTTTAGTAATACTTTATTTAGTAATTACTAAATTACTACTGGTAATTACCTAAAAATACTACCAAACTTTTTTTTTTTTATACAGGATTTTATTCCTTCAAATAGTATATTATCAAATGCCTTATCATGGGGAGTAAAAATTCTTCATATTGATGGTAAGGATTTTATTATTGTTTTTGACAGTATTTGTCAAAAGTATCTGTCTCTGTCCTTTGGATCCTAATTTTAGATAGTGAGAATTCTGATAGCAAGAGATACCTGTGATGGTAATAATTTCATCTAAATTTAGTACAATTAAAAGAAAATAGCAGTGTTTAACTCGAAAGGTAAACATGCTAATCTTAAACCCTTCTTTCTTTTAATAAAGACATTAGATACTACATTGAACAAAAGAAAAAAGAGTTGAATTTACTGAAGAAATCAAGCACTTCTGTAAGAGATGTGGTACGTTATTTTTTAATTTTTAAGCTAAATTAAAAATGATTAAGCTTGGTTTTTATAGATCTGTAAATTTTTTTGCCAAGTGGAAAATATTATTGCTGTAATATGTACCAAATGCATGCTTCTATTACTTGAATAAATTGTTGTGTATCATTTAACTTTAGGATTTACTTATAAGGTAAAAGTTCCCACTGCAACTCAAAGAATATACTTTTGTGAATAACATGGCAATTGACATACTGCATGAGGAGCTCTTCATGTGTATAATATACTCCTTTTGAGAACATAAATAGGAAGTATTCTTACTTTTCAACTGTTCCGTAAATATTGTCATGTATGGCTATCTGACCTCACCTCAGAATATTTGTTAAACAAGTTCATTGGGCATTGCCGTCTGTTAGACCTATTATTCCCATATCTTTAGCCTCTTACCTTTTTACCAGCTTCCTCCTTGAAGCCTCTGTATAGAATCAAGCTTGTTCTATCCTTTAGAACAAATAGAGTAAAACCTCCCTTGACCTCATGTCCCTGCCTACTATTCAATCTATGTCATCTAGCTATCTCTATATCCACTTTTATACTTCCCACTCACTCTCCAGCCTATGAGGTACAAAACTATGGAACAATTTGGCAAATCAAGTGTACACTTTTTAAAACCAGTCATATTGGTTCTGTCAGCTCTCATTCTATTCCTCCTTGAACTTACTTATTTTCATCTGGAACTTCTCTCATCTCTGCTTTCTCATGGTTCTCTTATCTCTCAGAACTTTCTTTTGTGGTCTGCTTTTTCTTCAATCAGTCAATCCTTAAATGACTAGAATCTGAAAGGAAAATAAATTTTATGGAAGAGTGTATATAAAGATATGAAACCATAAGTAGGATGGCATGTTTTGGAAATTTTACGTCATATTTTACAACTTGATCTTTAAGTGGGAAAGTGACAGGAAATGAAGCTAGAAAAATTAGCAAGTTCAGATAAGACCTTGCATGCTATATAAAGTTAGATTTAATCTTGAAGGATTTGGAACATTTTTGAGAGATAATAGGAGAGCAAACCTGGTTGGATAGGTTATTCTCTTGAACACAATTTTTAATAAAGATTTTACATCGTAACTACCCTATTAGAAGTAAAAAAAAAAATTCCAAGGGACTATTTCCAGATTTTTGCAAAGTGAGGGGTGGATATTTCTTTACTGAAATGTGCTAGATAGCATATGAATTACCTTTGTAGCACTTTGTGGATTGTTTGGATTGTATATAGAAATAAATGTATAAAAATTTAAACTCATAAGCACATTTATGGACTCAAATACACACGCATTATCATATCTGTCTATAAACATAAATAAGTCAGTACATATCTGAAACAAGTTTTATGAAACAGTACTTACCCTTAATGTGCTAATACTTCTGTGGTATTCTTTCATTTTTAAAAAAAAATACTGGCCACAACTCTGTCTAAACTGATTTTACAGCCCTATAGGTCACAGTCCATGGTTTAAAAAGTATTCTGGGATGTTATGAAAGTAATAGGAAGAAATGCTGAAGACCTGCTTCAGATGGTAACAGAAGGGTAGGGGAAGAATTGAAAGATGCTTATTAACAGGTTATAGTGCCTAACCAGTGCCTCGACTCTAATATATACTGCATGAGGGCCCAGATCACGTTTTACCTCTTTCAACACTGGGTTTTGTTTACACATGGAACACATTATTCACTCAGTATTTAGCAAATACTCAGTGCCTGTTATGTGCCAGGCACTAGAAGTGTTTGCCCCCTTGAGAGAAAAAAAACAAAAAGCTGTGATAAATAGTTGCAAAACAGGTTTTACTTTCCTCCCAAAACAAAAAGGATAGGAATACCAGTATCTGTATAATTCAGGATGTGTAACTGGTCAGCTTGATTCCAAAACTTGAATTTTTTTCTGTATATAAGAAAACAAATGTTTCCAGGAAATTTTTTTGGTTTGCCAGCTACTAATGCATAAAACTTTTTAATGAAGATGCATTTATGGGTCTTGAATGATGGACATATATTAATCTTATGCATGCTAAATAATACATATGAATTTTAAGACATTTTTAGATTCTCATACTCTTGTTAGTATGTATCTTAAAAAAAAAAAGTATATTTTGCTCCAGTACTTTATTTAAAGTGCTTTGAGTTTTTTCCCTCAGTTTACCTAAAACGTATTTTGTTGAAGATTTTTTGTATATATGTGCATGAGGAATATTAGTCTTTTTCTTTTGATGTCTTTGGTTTTAATGTTAGGGTAATGCTGTCCTCATAAAATGTTGAGATGTATTTTCACTTCTATTTTCTAGACAGTTTTTTTTTTTTTTTTTAAGAATCTGTTGTATTTCTTAAATGTTTGGCCAAATTTTCTAGTAAGGTTATCTGGGGCCTGAAATTTTCTATGTTGGAAAATTCTCAACTATGAATTAAGTTTCTTTATTAGATAGAGATAATTAAGGGTTTTTTTCCCCAAACGTACTTTGGTAGTTTGTATTTTTCAAGGAATTTGTACATTTTGTCAAAATTGTTTAATTGATGGAAAAGTGTGTGTAATTTCCCTTATTAAGCTTTTAATGTCTGTGAAGTCTAATGATGTCACTTTCATTGCTGATACCATTATTCTGTGTCTTCCCCACCTCCTTGGTTAGCTTGGCTAGAGTTTCATCAGTTATAACTATCTTTTTGAAGAACCGTAAACTTCCTTTAAGTTCTGCTTTAGCTGTGTCTCATACATTTTATATTGGATTTTTTTTTTTAGCATAGACTTTTTTTGTAAGAGTACCTTTAGGTTGACAGCAAAAGTGAATAGAAAGTCCAGATGTTTTCCATATGCATATGCCTTGTCTATATATACACACAGCCCCCTGATCAATATCCTACACCAGAGTGGTGCATTTGTTACTAATGATGAATCTATATTGATAAGTCATCTTCAAAGTCATAGTTTACATTAAGGTTCACTCTTTGTAGTATACATTGCATGGGTTTGGACTTGTATAGTGACATGTATCCATTATCATAGATAGTATCACACAGAATAGTTTCAGTGCCCTAAAAAGCCATCATGTTTTACCGATTCATCCCTCTCTCCCCTTCTTACCTCTAGCAACTACTGCTTATTTACTTATTGCCATAGTTCTGTCTCTTCCAGAATACCGTATAGTTGGAATCATACAGTATGTAGATTGGCTTCTTCACTTACTACTAGGCATTTAAATTTCCTCCATATCACTTGATAGCTCATTTCCTTTTATTGCTGAATATTCCATCGTTGAATATGCCACACTTTACGCATTTGCTTTCTGAAAGACATCTTCATTGTCTATTATAAAGCTCTGGGTAACACTCATTTTGTTGTTGCTGTCATTGTTTTAGGAGGGAGTTATCCAATTTTGTTCAAACTCTCAGTTCTCAGTCTCAGTTTCTGTAAGTGGTGGTTCTAATCTCCATTTCAGTTTTCAGAGGCTTAAATGCAGCTTTCTGTCCTTTGCATGCATCACTTATAGCTTAGCCCAAGACTTGGGCAGTGGTTTAAATCTTAATTCCATTTCAAGACATAATCATTGTTTTGTTTCTTGTTTTGTTTTGTTTTCATTTCTTCGATTGAGTTGATTTTAAAACAGCTTTTTTCTTGTTTTTTTCTCCCCATGAAACTACAATAATCACCCTTCTTTTATATAGTTATTTTCCTTTATGGTTTTTTTCTTATCTTGATATTAATTGCAGTTGCTGTTTTCACTGTACTTTCAAGCTCAGTATTTTTGCTGTATCTTTTTTTCCTCCTTAGGGGAAAAGAGTAGGGATCAGCACTCAAAAAGCAAGAAGTAAGTATTTTGATACCCTTAAGTATTTGTTTTGCTTTAGAAAATAGAACAAATCATATAAAAAAAATCTTTAAAAATCATGGAACCAATCCCTGTAAATGACTTTTTCAGTAGGTTCTTAGCCCTTTTGTTTTAGAACATTGACCCCTGTGTCAGTTTGGTGAAGCCTATGAACTCTTTCTTAGAATAATGTATCTTAAAACATTTTTTGAAAAATCATTCGATTATTAAGGAAATCAATTATATTGAAATTCAGTTATCAGAATATTTTTCAGTATAAAATAATTATATACTTGTTTTATTACACATTAAAAAGTTCTAGCAGTGATTATGATTAATTGCTAATTTTGTTTTGAAGTGATGAATATAATGATGCTTTGGGATATTTGTGGTAACTAATACTATATAAAACTATGTTTCAATTGATATCAAAATTACAAGTGCTGCTAATTCTGATCCTGTGGCTTATATGCAAAATTGGAGAAAGTGTTAAATTTCAGTTAGAGATTAGTGAAAATAAAAGTTAGATAGTTTTTCCTGTTCTAGGTCAAAATCCTCCTGAATTCTATTCTTAGATCCTTTGGGGGATCCATTCAGTTTACTAATCTCAGAATAGGGACAGAGCATCTGTTATTTTGGAAATGTGTTGATAATTGTAAAATATCTTACCTGAGGCTTAAAACTTCAAATTGAAATTAAATGGATAATGGATGCATATTTATTTGGATTTGTTTAGCCAGAGTAGTTTTGTTAAAAAAAAATTCTTGATTTGTAAATTTCTAATGTCATGTTTTGTATATTATCAGCAGGTAGACTCAAAAAGCCTTTTGTAAAGGTGGAAGATATGAGCCAGTAAGTATCTAAATTCAACCTGTATAATTTAAGCATAATATTAAAGGAGAAAATCTAACTACTTAAGCTGTTTCCGCTAATACTGTTAGATCTCTTTATGTTAGATTTATATGATACTGATATGCATGTGGCACAGTTGCAGAAATTAGCAGTAATTAATTTGTGCTCAAGGACTGAATTTAGTTTCAGTAGGTTTTAGATAGTATTTCTTTGAAAATCTGGTTTAGAGCAATCATGAGAGCAACTTACTTTTCAGTATTTCAGATAACCATTTTCTGGCTAAATGCAGTACCATGTGATTTAGAACTACTACTTAAAGATTGCATCTGCATTTGTGAAAAAGAAATTACTAGTTACTGCTTGGAAATACAAAACCTGAGTATAACATCTAATTTGGTAGCTTACCTAAACTCATTCTGAAGCTTTATGGAATAATCTTACTGAAGACTACAGATATAAGTAAGTAATTTGACATGGGAGAATTAGATTTCTTCCTTTTGATAGTCCACTTAGTCATTTAGACATACATAATTAATTCTCCTGGGTACTCCTGAGGTGACGTAGATGTATTGAACGCTTCTTTTTATGAAATATGTTCCTGTGAGAAAAAAATACAATTTTACAAATTTACAAATACAAAATTAGGCCTAAAGAAGGCACCAGTAAGTGAAAAGACATCCCATGTTCATGGATTGGAAGACTTCATATTTTTAAGATGTCACTACTGCTCAAAATGATCTACAGATTCAGTGCAATCCCAATGACTTTTTTTGCATAAAGAGAAAAATCCATCCTAAAATTCACATGAATCTCAAGGGACCCTGAACACCCAAAATAATTTTGAAAATGAAGAACAAGATTGGAGTTCGACACTTCTAATTTCAAAACTTACTACAAAGGTGTAGTCAAAAAACAGTTTAGTACTGACATAAAGACAGATGTATGTCTATGTATGTCTACCAGTGAAATAGAATAGAGAGCTCAGGAGTAAATCTTTATATGTGTGATCAAATAATTGTTGACAGGGATGCCAAGGGCATTCATTGGGGAAAGGACAGTCTTTTTAATAAATGGTATTGGAAAAACTAGATATTCACATACAGAGGAATGAAGTTGGACCCTTACTTTATACAATGTATAAAATTAACTCAAAATGGATCAAAGACCTCAAACTATCAAACTCTTAGGAAAAAAACATAGGGGAAAGCTTTATGACATTGGGATTTGGCAATGATTTCTTAAATATGACACTAAAAGAAGAAATAAAAAGATAGAAGAACTAAGCTGGTCTACATCAAAATGATGAAATTCTGTGCCCAAAGGACATAGCACATTGAGAAGGCAACCCACGGAATGGGAAAGCAAACTTGCAAATCATTTATCTAATAAGATTATTAATAGAAAGAACTCAACAACGGAAAATCAAATGACCCAATCAAAAAGTGGGCAAAGGACTTGACATTTCTCCAAAAATACAGATTGCCAACAAGCATATGAAAAGATACTCAACATCTCTAATCATCAGGAAATTGCAAATCAAAACCACAAAAAAATCTATCACCTTATAACCATTAGGATGGTTACTATTTTAAAAAGAAAAACAGAAAATAAGTATTGGTGAAAATAACGGGGATATTGGATCTCAAGTACACTGTTGGTAGGATTGTAAAATGGTGTAGCCACTATGGAAGACTATGGAGATTCCTCAAAAACTTCAAACTGCCATATGATCCAGCAATTCCATTTCTATGTATATAGCCAATAGAATTGAAAGCAGGGTTTCAAAGAAATACTTGCACATTCATGTTCATAGCCAAGAGGCAGAAGCAACCCAAATGTTTATCAACAGATGAATGGATAATATGGTATATACATACAATGGAATATTATTCAGCTTTTAAAAAGGAAAGAAATTTTGACACAGGCCACAACGTGGATGAACCTTGAGGACATTATGCTAAATGAAATAAGAGTTACCTAGAATAGTTAAGTTCATAGAGACAAAGTAGAATGGTGGTTATCAGAGGCTGGAGGAGAAAGGAGAATGAGGAGTTACTGTCTAATGGGTACAGAGTTTCACTTTTGAAAGATGAAAAGAAATCTGGAGATGGACGGTGTTAACAGTTGCAAAACATTGTGAATATAGTTAATACAACTAAATGTGCACTTAAGAATGATGAAGATAGTAAATTTTGTTATATGTATTTTACCACAGTATAAAAAGAAATTATATGCTTAAAAACTAATGGATCTAGAAATTGGGAAGGGAAATCTGTTTTTGTTACTTATTTCAGATTCCAGATGAATTACATGATTTTGAAATATAAGACTTCTAACATGTTTTCTTTCATCATAAAGATTCTCATGTATTTATCTTTTTATTCTTTTAGACTTTATAGGCCATTTTATCTTCAGCTGACCAATATGCCTTTTATAAATTATTCTATTCAGAAGCCCTCCAGTCCATTTGATATGGATAAGCCGTCTAGCACCCAAAAGCAAACTCAGGTTAAACTAAGGTTGGTTTAACCTTCAAGTGATTTTTTTATCTTTTTAAACAAGTATTTTAAATAATTTATTTAATGCCATGGAGTGTGTGTGTTTCTAGTCACTATGATTATTTCCCCCAGTATATCTTTAATGCCTCTTTGCTAGATTTAAAGTCTGAATCTCTTCTAAGCATGTCACATTTAGACCTTCAGGCGGGGAGGGGCTTAAAAATATTTGCAAATAATCAAAATATGTTGTTTCTCTTAAGTGATGCACGATTAAATGTTCTCCAGAATAATCTTTACATTCTCAGTTTACTTCTCAATTTCTTAAAAAGAAAAATGGTTTAAAGTAATTGTTTTTATCTCTGAAAATTATGGCAGATTCTCTTTGATAGTTGAGGACTGTAAATTTTTGAGAATTATTCCTTATGTTCAGTGGTTAATCTTTTACCATATATTCCTGTCAGAATCCAAACGGACGGTGATATATGTGGTGGAATTCCAGTTCAAGTCCATTTGAAAGAGAAGAAGAAAAAAGGATATTGTGAATGTTGCTTGCAGAAATATGAAGATCTCAACGCTGTAAATGGGATTTTTGTATTTAGGGGGTTGATATTTCTAAAACGACAAATAATTGTTGTTGTTTAAATTTTAGCTTATTCTTTTGATTGTGGTTTACAACTTGGTAATTATTAAGTAGTAGATATTTCTTTTTGATAGAATTGTCTTAAATTTTAAGAGCCCAAAGTGGGGAAATGTATATTGAAAAATCATTTTTATCCATTCAGCAAATATTTATTGAGCACTTCCTTTATGCCAGTCATTGCTCTGGGCACACAGCATTGAACAGGAGAGGCCAATTCCCAACCCTAGTGAAGACTACATTCAGTGGAAGGGGAGGAGGCATAGGTGACCGCAGGATAAAAGAATAATGAACTATACATAGAGAGAACATTAGATCAGTGCTATGAGAAAACATAAAGCAGGAATGTTGCTGTTTATTTAGACCAGACAAGGAATACCTAATTGATAAGACGATATTTGAGTAGACCTGAGAGAAGTGAGGGAACAAGACTTGTGAGTATTGAAATAAGCAATGCAAAAGTGCTAAATTAATGGGATCAAAGAACAGATGTTGGTGGCCTGGACTAAGCATTGGTAGTAGAAGTGATGAGACATGGTCAGATTGTGGGTATAATTTAGAAGTGGAGCCAATTGGGTTTTGTTGGGAGGGAGATAAAATGATGGGTCATGAGTGGCCACAATTTTTCAGGCCTTCACAATTAAATAATGGGCAAGTGATTTACTAATAAAAGATGAGAAGAAAGTGGAGAAGATTCTTTGAAATATCAGAGAAATAGAATAGTTGAACGTATATATGGGATGAAGAGAAAGTTTTAATGATGAGAACTATTACAATTTGCAATATGATAAAAAAGAGCAAGAGCTTTGGATCCAGGCTGCCTGGATTTGAATCGTGGCTTCCTGTCTGTAACCTTGGACAGTGCCTGGCACTGTGCTTATTAAATGTTAGCTGTTATTGTTTGAATTGATAATTTTTAAAATAGGTTGGTTTTGGTAGAAAGATGGTAGAAACGTTGAAAAACTAATACTTGAAAACATCAGATTCATAAACTACCCTGTCTTCAGAGTCTAAATTGAAGTTTGTTTTATAACCCAAAACAAATTAGTAGTTTGTCAGAAAAAAAAATGCCCTTTTCAAAAATCTTTTTGAAAATTTAAATTATAGATGGGTCCTGAAATTTTACTTTGCTGTTGTAGTAGAATAATCTATAAATGGATGTTTTCCTTAATATCAGCTTGTGGATCTTAATTTGATGCTCAGAGAATGTTGGGGCTGAAAATCACTGGTTACCACAAGGAAGGAAGATTAATGAGAGTAGAGGTTAAGATCGATACTTTAACAGTTTTTTATGTATGTTTCCTAGTCACTAAGGATAAGAAATTATTTTGTTTTTGGAATCTTTGATTTCACAGTGATTCATTTCCACCTGTATGAAGGCATTCATTTAACAAATTTAATTATGGAAGATTAAGCAACAAACAAAGCAGACGTATTCTTTACCCCTATACCATCTTATGGTCTGACAAAAAATAAATATAAAACATGTATTTGCAAGTAGGATGAAAAATGAGTATCAAGTGCAGTAGTAATAAATAATGAGGGTACCTAACATAGAATGAAGGGCAAGGAAGGCTGAACTAAGAAAGTGACATTTAAATAGAGACTTAAAGAATGAGTAAGAAGGGGTAGGTGGAGGTGGAGAGGAACTATACAAAAGCTGAAAGTTGTTCTTAGTTCTTTGTAGTTACTATTTTTCCTTACAAGAACATAAATAAACTGAATCTGAACTTACAGAGTTAATGTTTCATTTCTCATTAGTTCTAACATTAGTGTGCATACATAATTTGTATATGGTAAATTTTGCAAGCTAGGAAAGAATACCTATGTATTCCAGAATACTGTATATTTGTAACCACTGAAGAATTTAGTTTTTGGAATTACAGTCAAATCATCAAAAGTTAAAATTATATGAAACTAGGGAAGCAAAAATGAGGTTCTTCCACGATTGTCTTGATATAGGCTTCTAGTTATAATTCCCTGATCAACTGATAGACTAATGATAGAATTAGCCTGGAGATTTCACCTATTCAGAAGGAACTTTTCTTCCTATGAGTTTTATCCCAATGCACTAAGCTTGTTTACTTTTATTCTTGACCACTCTTAAGACTAAGAAAAGCTTTTTGGTACTCTCTGTTATGAGCACTGGGTAATTGAGATCAGGTATTTGCTCATTCTCAAATGTGTTCCTCGATGATGAATCTTTCTTTTTTTTTTAATACTTCACAGCATTAGTTGTACTTCATTTGTTTGTTCATTGTACCTTCTAGAGTCTTGTTTTGGATTCTTGTATGCTGAATTACGTTTCATTTACTTAATATTTTATAAGCTCTACCTTCCTTATTTAGTGGTAATTATATAACGATTAAATAAAGTAGCAAAGGGAAAAAAGTGTTTCAAAAATATTAGCACATTCTAAATGTTTAAATGTTACTGTTATTTTTCTCCATCTTTTCTCTTCACTTTCCAATGTAGCTCACTCCCTTTCAGTTCCATTGAAACTACAAATTAGTTAATGTTTGACTTTTCTCGTTGAAGAATGGAAGACTGAAAACCAAAGTAGTTTTAATGGTTTTTCAAAAGTTACTTTTATTCTGCTTCTTTTAAATTCTGGTAAAGGATAGTTCTTTGCAATAGTTAGTAGAAACTTAATTTTAGGGGCATGAAAATATTAGAAAACCTGAACAAAAAGATATCTGTTGCTTTTAAAATATAATTTTGTGATTTATATACTTTTTTGTTTTATTTTAGCATCTTCTAAGTGAGCAACACAGAAACTTTGCACAGAGTAATCAATATCAAGTCGTTGATGATATTGTATCTAAGTTAGTTTTTGACTTTGTGGAATATGAAAGGGACATGCCTAAAAAGAAAAGGTAATTTACCAACTCAAGTTTTAAATTTTAATAGAATATTAAACTGTTTTATTAAACTAAAATCCAAAGTTTTCTTTTCTTAGAAGGATTATGTTTTAAGGATATAAATATGGTTAAGAACTGATTAATTCTTTCCTATTCCCCTCCTCCTCCACTACCAAAAATGCTTACCTTAAATTACTTTTAAGGTCCTCTTCTTAACAGTATAGTCTAAAAGAGAAGTTGACACTTTTTCTATAAAGAACCAAGTAGTAAATATTTTAGACTTTGTGAACCATAAGATCTCTTATAACTACTCAGCTTTGCCATTGTACAATGAAAGCAGCCACAGACTGTATGTTAATGAATGAGTGTGGCTATGTTCCAATACAAGTTTGTTTTATAAATAGACAGCAGAGTAAATTTGGCCCATGTGCTGTACAGTTTGTCAGCCCTAGTCTAGACCATTTCCTTGGAATAATGAAGGTAGAATTTTAGTTAATCTTAAGGAGTTTTAAGAAACCTTCCCCCTTTTCATCTATTAAGTCATCTTTATACTTTGACTAGATACTTCACTTAAGCTCTGCTTGCTGATAATATTTATTAAAGGTATTGACAAGACTTTTAAGTGTGAGTACAATGCTGTTCAACATACTATAACTGCACATTAACAAAATGAACCTCATTGTTTATTCCCATAAATCTAAAATAAAAAGAAATGCTTTTATATAGATATATCCTAGAATTGATAATATCTCAATAGGTTGTTTAGTGCTTATAACTGTTTTTAGACCAATCTTAAGGCATAAAGAAGACTGTAAGATGTGATACCAAGCTACAACTTCTGAAAATTAGCTAGAAAAAATTTTGGCTTTAGGTAGTTCCTAAACATCATATGTCTGTAACTTTCTGAATGATTGTTCATGACTGATTTTATATGATATTTGGAGAGGATGCATATTTCCAACTATTAAATGGACTTTATATGGGCTACTGTAAGAATTTAAAATTCCCTAAAAATTCACTGTGCAGCAGAGTTCTGAACTAGTACTTACATATAAACTGGTTATTCCTTAATCAATTATCTTGTCTGCACAATTTTTCTCTCTATAGGCAAGTCACCTAAACATCTCTAGATTTTAAAGGAGAGCGTGTTGTTTTTACATTTTTTTAATCTTCCATTTGTTCAAGAGGAGTCTTAAGTAAAAGTATCAACAAAAGAAACAGAAAAAGAGCCATTCTGGTTTTGAAGGGGCAGGTGGAATTCTGTGTTTCTCTTTGTTATCTGTGACTTGTGTAACATAAAGCATACTTAGTGAGCTGTTAAGTTTCTTTCTGTTTGTAAGTAATTTAGGAGTGTCTAATACAAACTAGCATCTCAAGGATATTAAGACGTTCCATGAAGAAGAGGGTTTCAGGTCGACTGTGTGAAACGTAAGGATTATTAACTTGTCATCTTTAGAAGTATAAAGATAAGAGGTTTCTGGCTCACTATGATATTAGATAGTTTATATTTAAATATAAGTAAATATCCAATTTGCCTTAGATTTCCCAGTAAATACTCATTTTCCACATGCTAAGTCAAATGAGGAGACAACATTAATGTAAATCACAGCTTAGAAGTTATGAAATGTTTCAGGAGAATGAAAACATTAGGAGCAGACCCAAATCCCTTTTCTGTCATCTTTCTTTGATTTATATGGTCAAAGTAGTTTTAAATACCAAATTGAAAATACTGCTTACCTTTGGGAGGAAGGGGAAAGAATAGATGAGAAGTGGTATATTAGAGTTTTCAGCTGTATCTATAAAGTTTTATTATTTTAGTAACATCTAAAGTAAATTTGGCTAAATGTTAAGAGTTCTATATTTTTCTAATGTAGTCTAAGTTAAATAAGTTTCATAAGTAGTTTTAAATGATTTTTACTAATTTAGTTTTAAAATACTTAGGAATTTTTGATAGCAGTTATTTCAGTTTTTTTCTTTTGCTTTTTTCTCTCAAGAATAAAATACAATGTTGGATCCCTTTCTCCTCTTACTACAAATGTCCTGAAAAAGTCTGAACCTAAAGAAAATCTGGAATTGCAACATACTTCTCAGAAAGACTTCAGGGAAAATAATGTACAGGTGATTGAGCAGAGTTTCCTATATAAAGAAACCCAGGAACCTGAACAAAAGTTAGTCTCTACTTCAGAACACATCTCCCACCCTTCAAGTGAATTAAGAGGACTTGATGAGAAAACATCTAGTAAATGTTCCATGTTAAATCCAGCTGAAAATGACATACAGCAGAATTTTACACCTCTACCTCCACATAAACAGGAACGCATTCTTGACGTTTCTGAACATAAATTAACTATAAATGAAAATGACTTAGAAGAACTCAGGGTAGATCACTGTCCTTGTAGGCCACAAATATCTATACAAGTTTCTAATTGCAATACAGATAATAGTGCATCTCAACCACAACAGAAGTCAGATACTGTGCTTTTTCCAGCAAAGGATCTAAAGGAAAAGGACCTTCATTCAGTGTTTTGTCATGATTCTGATCTGTTAGCAATGAACAGTTCACAGGAGCACCTTACAATTCAAGCAAAGACTCCATCCCAGAGCCCTCCTGAGGAACCCAACACATGTGACCTCAAGAATATGGATAGTTTACCTTCTGGTAAAATCCATCGGAAAGTGAACATTTTATTAGGAAGAAATAAAAAAGAAAATCTGGAACCAAGTGTGGAGTTAGATAAGAAAGAAACTGAATTTCTTACTACACAAGAAGAAAACAGAATTTGTAGCTCACCAGAACAATCTCTACTGGACTTATTTCAGACAAGTGAAGAGAAGTCAGAATTCTTGGGTTTCAAAAGCTACACCGAAAACAGTGGTATGTGTGATACTTTAGATATTTGGGAAGAGGAAGATTCAAATAATCTGTTATCAATGTTTTTCTCTTCCCCTTCAACTTCTACATTTACTGGCTTTTAGACTTCAAAAATAAATAACCTTTCAAAAGCAATGAAAATAATATTCTTGGAATTTTTATAAATATAAAAATTCTTAGGTTTGAGGGTTTTTTTTTGCCAATTTTCTTTACAGAACCAAATGTAAATATTAATAAAGGTGACATTTTTCATTTTTCTACAGAATTGAATGCCTGTTAGAGAAAAATTGTAGAATAAACTTGTGACCCATCTTGTTTTACATACTGTGTTCATAATTGTTTCCTAAGAACTACTATGAATAATTGGTTTATGTCCATGAAAACTAATTTCAAGTGAAAATTTGAGAATATCAAAATTCAGCTTTATAAATTTAGATCTTCTAGTTATATCTATTGTCTGTTAAAATAGATTTCCATGATAACATGACAGTATTGCTTTTAAAAACCTAATTTTCACACAGGAAGGAAAAAAATATATTTCAGTGTTTGAATTCTGGAAATCATTATTACCAGAAACATTGACACTGAAAGGTGAACTAGTTGGACCATGCTAGGGTGTTGGCATTGAGGAGTTAGGTTATTTGTAGGGATTAATAGAAGCCATGAAGGAAAAACTTAACCAGGCTAGCATATGGAATATAATAGTTTTTCCATTCTTCTTAATTATTTACTTTGGAAATAATTTCTTATAAAAATAATTCTTTACCCTCTAATTTGGTATCAGGAAATGAAAGCGTAAGGATGGCACTGAACTAAAGATATGTTTTGAAACTTGCAGATTGCTTTTGATTAGGCAGTTGGCAATTCAATAGTTTAGAAAAAAGAAAATTCAAATGTAAGAAAAATTTCAACTCTTATCAGTAAGTGGCTTACAATAGTGCCATTGAATATTGTGTGAATACTTTGTCACTAAAATTAACTTTGATTGCCAGTCTTAATTTTTTGAAACCCTGTATGGCTTGGAAGTATATGTTATTTTGACCATCTGGTCAATGAGAAATACTAACTTTTCAATAACTTTATTGTTCATACCAGTACCTAAAGCAGGATCACTGAACTATCTACAGTGCATACATGCAAACTTTATTTCCACTGTAAATTACTACTGTAGCATTTTGTCAGATGTATGTGTATATATGTAACTCTAGATAGCCTTCTAAAAAACCTAGAGAAACTTGGAAAATAATTTGTTTTTTCCCTTTGTTATTACCTGTGTTTCCCTCAAATTTCCAATTAAAAGGTATTTAAACTTGCTCTGCAATCGTTGGACTTAGACCGACAGTCTCTTCTATTTGTAGTGACACTGTTGGCCCTAAAATGGTTTGGAGTGATTTTGTGTTAGTTGTATTTAATAAGGAGGAAGAGGCTCAACTGAACCTCTGCAGTAGTTAAATGTTGTTAAATTTTATTTTGACACTATTTTTGAACTATTATTTTGAATGCTGGACTTTTATTAAAACACCTTCCTCCAAGATCCTCATAATGAGTATTCTACTTTTTAAAAAATTCCCAAGTTTCAGTTTATCTGGAACAGTGCTATAAACTAGCAGGACCAGCACATGGTGTTTGTGTGGGTTGTGCTTATGCAGGTGAGCACTGAGCCAAGGGGGAGAGCAGGTAAGAAATCCAATCCGCAGTCTGCAGCTAGTATTCTGCCCTGGGATTGCAGCCCTGTTAGAGGAAGGAGTACTTTTTCCTAGTTTTTTCCCCTGGGCAAGGTGCTTTGGGGTTGTGTCTACCCAGAAAGGGTGTTTTACTGTTTTTTGACTCTCTAACAGCACTTAATTGATTCCCAGATTCGTTCACAGAAAAATAATCTTTAATGTAGTAAGGGTCTTCATAGGTCCTCAGCAGGGTAGATAGAAAACTCTTGGTTTGCTTGATAGAAAGTGCTTCCCTAAAAGTGTCTAGACAAATCACAGTAAGCACGTGATATCAAAGAATTCGACTTATCAAGAGCAGTGAAGTTGAAAAGTGTTAGGAAAGAAAAGGCACCCTAATTAAGCCAAGGACAACAGACATCGTAGCATTCAAAGTTGATGGCTCCATTTTTCTAGGAGTAGCTAGAAACAGCAGTAATGAAGACAATGTGGTTTTATTGCACAAAATGTCTATTTTTCTAAGCTCACAAGCAATTGTAGCAAGAGGTATTTTACGCACGATAATAGAATCTGTTTTTGAAGCCAATGATGACTTCATATGCATATATTAGTATTATATGTATTAAAATAATTAGTGGAACTACATAAGGTGTTACTCTAATGTGTGTAATTTGTAGGGGACCTTTATGAATGTCAAGACAAAAATATACCTAACTTTGAAAGAGGAATAGAAAACAAAGGGATTATGTGCATGAATGACATTGTACTTGAGTCCTTATTTCCAGAAATGTGGGATTACTTTGTTATCCAACAAGAATTTAGGTGGGGTTTGTTTGTTTTTAGCACTTTGGGGCTAGGATGGATGTGTAGTTAATATTCTGCTATCGAAATAATATGTTAAAATACTAAATGTTACATGTATTTAAATATTACGAATTTCTATAAATGTAGTTTTGGTGTGAGACCAAAGAAAGTTTTAGTTTTATGTTACACTTCTAAGTATCATTCGAGTCCTATGTTTCACTGATACTGTGAAATGTAAGGATAGTAGATAGGCCTCTTCTTACAGGAGATGGAAAGGTTTTTAAACATAATGTTAACTGAACCCTCACTGGGCTAGCTGGACCTGAAACCACAGGATTGCAATCTTAAAAGGTCTAAAAGAATGCTAGTCTAGAGTAGGTTGCTCAGGCAATATTAATTGGGCCCAAATTACCTTAGATAACAGCCGGTATAGACTTGCTGGCGTTGAAGTGTGTGCTGTGACCAATAATACACATGAGCCTTGTGCTGTGATTACATTATTTGTTGGGGAGGGTGGGGGCCGAGACAGGAGAAGGAATGGCTTGGGACAATGACAATTAGATCAAATGAGAGGGCTGTTTAGCCTTTTAAATGCACTATTTATAAGAAATGTTTAATGGTATTACACAAAAAGTAGTATGGTATCCAAATTAGTACCACTTAAAAACAAGAAGTTACCCTTTCTGCATAAAGAAGCAGTATTATGCCCACCTTTTTGCCTGTGCAGGCTAATAATTCTGCATAACTAAGGTTAAAAAGCAGAATTTAGGCTCTTGCAAACAAAGGCCGTTAATTAGCCTTTGTTAATTTTGCAGGCAGTACTAGAGGGAATTAGCCTCCTTAAAATCCTAGCCTCCCCCCCCAAAAAAATTCTAGAGCTCTGGGTAATTAAAGTTGCAAAAATAATTTATTAGCAAAATGTATTACTCAAGCAAGAAAAAGATACATGAATTTTGAATACCAGAAGAATAGCATGTGACCAAAATAAATGAGACTTGAACAATAAGAAACCAAGAATCAGACTGAGACATAGATATACAAAGCCATATCTACTGAGGGATGTCACAATTCCTTAATGAGAAAATAAGTTAAAAGTATCAAAGTCCCTATATATTACTTAATTTTACTTGATTGTGCTTAAGTGTACAGTAAATTGCATTTAGCTTTTGTTCTGTAAGTTCAGTTGTCAGCAATTTTGCTGACTTCAGACCTCAAGCTAAATGACAAATGATTATTAGGAATAGGTGAACTTTGTTAAATTATCAGATTTAGTAAAATCAAGAAGGCAGCTTCTGTAGAAGTTGAAGAAAACTTTGATTTTTGACTTTTTAATCTCTCCTAATAGCAAAAATAGTGTTATACAATATACACTCAGATGGGAAGCACAAATTCCAAGAGGGTCAAAAGAGTAATTAATTGCAAGTCGGGCCACTCCTGCTTCCATCTATTGGTTCCCAGACCTATGTATTATTTTATCAGACATAGCACCATATAAACATTTTGAACTCAAAGTATATACTGCATCCTAGAAGGTGATACCCCATCCTCAAAAATATCACCTCCACACCTTCAAGTTGATGCTATAGCTATGCCTTCAACAGGCCTTTCTGATGCTCTTTCAGGCAGCTTTTGGGTGATTCAGTACGTGTTAAGACCCGTGGATCACCTGATCATGGGCTCACTCCCACACCTTTGCTGTAAAGTCAGTCCCCTGGTATAATGTGAAATCATGCATCAGAATTCTCAAAAAGTGATGGTGTGAGCAGGAAAGAGCGACTCTTAACCTGGAATACGTCTGTTACTGTGCCTAGCATAATCAACTTGCCATGAAGTGCCTGGTTGGTCTCGAGAGGCTGTGCCATATGAGGAGCTTAGTGTTGGTCTCTGTTTCTGGCAGGCTGAACATTTGGCAATGGCAGAAACACTAGATAAACTTCAGAGACTAGGAGCCGATACTATTGAGCCCATACATAGCTTTCATCCCTGTCACCATAGCCCTTTTCCTCATGTACCCATTGTGCCCGCATTAGGGTGGATTAACATGTGATATAAAGATATTCACGCTTCATGCCCACTCCCATATGCCATGTGCCTCTATCCTTTATATTCAATCTTCCAATCTTTTTCTTCACCAGTCCCTTAACAGCTAGTCAAATCATTTCTCACTGCCTGAGTTCATGTATATTCTAAATTCAGGCCACTTCTCTTTCCACACAAAGGGGATGACCAGCTATACCACTTGCAGCTCTGCCCATTGGGAAGATTTTTCCCTTGTGACTGGCTTTCAGTGCCAACCCTGAGTGGAGCTGTCTCGCTGTTGGCCATCTATATTCAGCTCGTACCCACACAAGTAACTAGTCCATGAACCAAGTTTAAGATTTTTCTCCTTTTTCATCTAGACTTAAGGAATGGACCTGTAGGGGTGACCTGGGAAGAGGAACTGATGCAACAGTGATGGATGACGTGGGGTTCTGGGCTGCCTACTCATGGAATTTCCTTGAGCCCTCTGGTCCTGCTTTTGCTCAACCCTGGATGGACCAGTTCCATTTTACCATGGATTACTGCTGCACTTGTTCCAAGTTATGTCTTGACAGGTCTGATTAAACACCAGCTCATGATTGGCAGTTGTAACCACCTGAGGATTTTGCCCTACTGTCGGGTGCTTTAATCTCTCATACATCATCATCTCATACAACAGTCTGTTTTCACTTATCAAAAAGTATATAATTCTTCACAGAAGTCGTCATGGCCTTGCTCTAAAATCCCCAGGGCCTCGGTTGTGATTTCCTAGTGGGGCTTGCCGTAAACTCGAGTGATGTCTCTAGGACCTTTGAACATGCCTGGTAATACAACTGCAGAGTTTTTTCTGCTCACAGCTGGCAGTCTTTTATGCCCCCGTGAGGACGCAGTATTCCCACTTGAGATATACTGCTTCAGGACCAGAAGAGGCCACCTAAGTATTATGCTTCCTTTTTCATGCTTGGGAAGTTCAGGATGCAAAAATTTGTCCTTCACTTTGAATGGCATGTCTTGGCTTGCCCCTGACCACTGGAACTCAAAAAATGTTACTGATGTGACAAGGTCCCTGAATAATCTTAGGGTATCTCACCCTCTAGACAGCATGTGTCTTATCAGAGTTTCCAATGTGCTAGCAACTTCTTGCTCATATGGTCCAATAAACATGTTATCACTGCTGTAATGGATTAATGTGATGTTGTGTGGCATCCTTTCAAATTATAGTATGACGAAGGACAAGAAAGTTTAAATAGCCCTGGGGTGAAACTACAAATGTATTCTGTAACCTTTTCCCTATGAATATAATAAACTGTCTGACCTTTTTTTTTTCCTAACAGGGATGGAAATTATCCATCTACCCAATCAATGTCTGCCTACCCTGTACCTGGGACTATGTTCTCATCTGCAGTGGTAAAGATACCACATTTGGCACTTCAGCTGCAATTGAGCCTACTACTTAGTGCAGTTGGTGGGAGTCTGCTGTCAATCTTTATGACCCATAAGAATATGATGGGAATCAGTCATATTTTAATTACTTAACAGGGGCTCTAACTTCCTCCACCACCTCCAGCAACCCAAGTTTAGATTTTTTTTTTTGATTTATTATTTGGCTGAAAGATAGAGGCAGTTTCAGAGATTCCTACTTATTTGGTCTTCTTTTTTTCCTTTTCTTCCTTTCTCTCTCCCTCCCTCCCTTTTTCTTTTTCTTTCTCCCTTTCTCTCTCTTTCATTCTCTCTCTCTTTTTATCCCTCCCTCCCTCTTCTTTCTTTTTCTTTCTTGTTTTTCACACTATAATTTTTATCCTATAGGCCAGGGACACAGTGTGAATGATTTTATGAAGTACTAAATACTTCTCTTTTACTAAAATATTCCGAGGCTAAGCAAATGACATTTTTGGCCCACTGTGAGCCAAACCTTTGTCAGGACTCCATTTATTACCTGGCTGCCACATGCCCCCCCCCCCGTTATAATAGGTGCTTTGGGTCCCAGGCACCAATATCAATTCAGACCCTGCATCCACCAAATATTTGAGTACTCTTATCTTTTTCCCCAGTACACAAATACTCAAGTAAATAGAGGTAAGCCCCTTTGAGGAAGGACTTGGGAATCATTACCATGTGTCTTTGACTTGTGCTGCAGGGTCCTTCTTCCAGGGGCACGACTTTTCTTCAGTCAGCGGTTTCTGGGTGGAAAAAACTGACTCAAGTTTGGAAACCGTACAAGAGATCACCAGGGCACTTTTCACACTGTAGTGTACAAAACGGTGTTTACTCGGTGTATGTGACAGCAGGTGCCTCTTGTACCGTGTCCTTTACCGCTGTGTCCCCTCCGCTTAGTCAACCCCCGGGCACATAGTAGGTCCTCAATCAATATTTGCTGAATGGTTTACTTACCATGTACTCTTGAAGGTTTGCTTGCCTGATAATAATTTAAGTAATTTTTAAATTTGCGGGAAACATGACTACAGGGATCCAATGGCTGAATCCCAGCTCCCGCAGCGGTTCATTCGAGCATCTTCGGTGCCAGGAGGCCTGCCAGCGATGACCTTTCTTTTTTCTGCCCTCCTCCTTCCTCCCGTCTCCAGGAGGTAGAGGACCCAGTGGTCACGAGGTCGCGACAGTCCGCGCTGCGGTGGAGACGAGCGGGACGCGGGGAGAGAACTACATTTCCCAGCTGACTCCCGTGCGCGCGCCCCTGCCCGCGCGCAGGGGGCGAGTGCGCCAGGCGCTCGCTCCCCGCAGAGCGCTCGTCGCCCGCCGGAGCTTCTGCCAGGAGATGAGGTGGGAGGCGCTAAAAACCACTTAGCTATAGCCAACCGCCCAATGCAGCACTCGCTCGCTCCCCCCGCCAGCGGAAGCGCCCGCGGAGCACAATGCAGCACTGAGGTAGCGCCGCGGTGGAGGCTGCAGCGCCGCGGCCGCCGCAGCACCGGCTAGGGCTGGGAGGGGGCGGCCCAGGCGAGCCGGGGGCCCCGGGCGCAGGATCCGGACCCGGCTGCCCGGGCATGAGGAGCTGAGCGTTTCGGGCGAGGCCGGCTGACAGGCAACACCATGCAGGCGGCGGCGGCGGTTGTGACCGTGCCCTTCGTGCTGCTGTGCGCTCTGGGGACCTGTCCCCTGACGCGCTGCGGGCGGCCAGGTAAGTTCGCCGCCCTCTGTGGCTTCGGGACGTACCATTTCCCGGGCATCGTTGCAGCCCTCAAGCGCATTGTAAAGGGGCATCTCCATTTCCTGAGTGCGCGGGGAGATTTTTTTATTTAGAAGGGTGGTGAGAAGTGAAGCAAAAATCCAGTGTGAGGGGCGCGCAGATGCATTAGACGCTTTAGGTCAAATGCCTATTTTTCTTCTGAAGTGAAAGAGGAATGCGAAGGATAGCAGAAGGGTGCTCTGCTTCTGGGCCCCGATCCTGGCTGTTCTCAGATGAACTGGTCCAAGGCTCTCCGTCTGGTGTCTTTGCGTCCTTCCCAAATGGGGTCCAAGACGAAGGGGGAAGTGGAATCTTCATAGGGGAGATATCGGACCGCAGGATGGACGAGGGTGGGTCAGGGTAATTATTTTCGCCTTTTCTCCCCAAATCCCTCCTTGTCCCCTTCCTGCCCGAAGGAGACGCCTCGTTGACAGAGATGGAGAGGAGGAACGAAAACCGCTTCCTGGAGCGCCAGAGCATCGTTCCACTCCGGCTCATCTACCGCTCCGGCGGTGAAGACGAAAGTGGGCACGACGAGCTCGACACGCGTGTGCGGGGCGACCCCGGCGGCGGGCAGGTGAGAGGTGCGGTCTGGGGGCTGGTCCTCCGCGCGGCCCGGCCCACCCCGACCCCACGTTTGCTCTCCGTTGCCCTGGAGATGTAATGTCTTCAGTGAAACGAGCGAAATTCTAATGCGAGTCATGCATGGCGCTCCCTGTGCAAAAAAAAAGGAAGGAGGTGGGGTGGGGAAGTGTTGGACAAAATGCCAAAATAGTCACAGGCTGGGGGCTTTGCTCCAGAGGAGTTTGTGCGGGATGCCTCCAGCTGTGCGGCAACCCAAGCAAAGGGGCGGAGACCCTCTCTCTGCCAAGCAAAAGCCCTGCGTGGGAAGAAGGAATATAGTGTTTTGGCAGGATTTGCATCATCATTATTGTTGTTGTGGTTGTTGTTGTTTTAAATCTCAAAGAGAAGCCTTTATGTGATTTAAGCCAAGACTGGTACTGTAGGAAAATTGGAAAAACAAGCCTAGACGTCCCTAACTAAACTAAAAATTAAGCTGAACTGCAAAGTTCTAGGCTCACTCACTTTGTGGACATTACAGATGTCCCTATTCACCTCCAGAAGAGGCATCCCCCTCCCGTCTTTCTTCATTGGTAGCAGTCCTTTTGGTGTAATGAGGGCCACGTTGTTTGGGGGCATTTATAAATTATGTTTAAATATATCTAACTACCATTTATCCATATTTAGGTCAAAATCACACATCCACCGGTATGCCTGAAAATTATTTGGAATTTTCTGGTTAGTTTAAGTAAATATCTGGGGGCTCTGTAGGCATTTTTTGGTGTTTACATACATCATCCCAGCAACCAGTTCACCCACCTGTAAGTACATATTAAGATAGAACTTGTTCATGTAGTTGAAAATTTTGTACACTTCACTGAAGCAAAGGCAGGCTGATCATTTTCACATGTATAAATATATTCTTAATACTTTAAGATATTTTTTGATGATGTGATAGGCATAGTAATTTATTTGTAAGTGTAAGAATAAGTACAAATAGAAAAATACAACTTTAATCTGTATTTGTAGCCAAGTACTTAGTTCTGTTAAAATTTTAATATAAGATGGAGATTAATTTAAAGGGCTATAGTAATATCCATCAGTTAGATTATTGTAGTAGAAAATCTAATATGCCAGGCTTTAATGATGGATTCTATCATTTGAATTAATGTTTGGTAAATACCTATTTTTTTATTTGAATTTTATTTACTTATTTGAATTAATGGTTCGTAAATACCTTTTCCATTTTGACTTGTTTCCAAAGTAAAACTGAAGAAGCATAGGACACCGGTCTTACTTTTCAATAAATTAGAATATTTCTGTGGAGGAATATTCTCACACTCATTTACAACTTTTGATTATAAAAAATCTCAAGCACACAAAAGTAGGGAGAATATTATAATGAACTCCCAGCTTCAGTAATTTGCAACCCGTAACCAATTTTGTTTTATCTACAGACTACATATTTTCTTTCCCTTTCTGTATTATTTTGAAGCAAATCATTTCATTCATAAAAAAAATTCACTGTGTACCTATAAAAAATAAGAATTTTAAGAAAATATAATCATGATATTTCCATAGCTAATATATATTAAATATTAAATGTACAAATATATTAAATACATATTTAACATAATATAAACATAGTAAATAAATATATACATAAATATAATATATATATGACTTTGATCCATGACACAAATAATGTCTATGGACTGCAGTTAGTTTAATTTTTTGTTTTTTAAGTCTTTTTAATGCATGGTTTCCTCCCTCCCCCAACCATTTCCTTGTTTTTTCCATGCAATTTATTCATTGAAGACATGGAGTCTGTCATCCTGTAGAGTCTCTCACAGTCCAAATTTTTGCTGATGTAAACAGTGCTTTAAAAAAATCACAAAGACTTTCTCAGAGAGGAAGGGAGCCAGGAGAAGGTAGAAATGCAAGAAGAGAAAACTGCAGGACTGAACCTGGAAACTCATGGAGTCTCTGCCCTTTGCTGGTCCTGTCCATAGGTACCCTCTGCCCTTCTCTGAATTAGTGAAAGACCACCACTCTTGGACAACAGGCTGGTCCTCCTTTTTGTTCCCATTTTGGAGCACTACTTCTGTGGTGTTTTGGTTCCTAAGCCTCTCCTCTTGGGGCAGAAGATGCTCTGGGCTTGTGCAGCTTCTGCTGCCCACAGCAGTAAACCTTACAATTGAGAAGAATGACTCTGGCTTTTGGTGAGGTGTGAATGGATGGGTGGGAGCTAGGTAAAAAAGCATGAATAGATTAATTCAAGTCAGAAATGAAAGTGAAGACACTGTCTTGTCATCAAAGTAGTTATTCCAAGCAGTTATCTGAATGCCTGGCCCATGGTAAGGTACATGTTGTGCATCTGGTTGGTGTCTGGATCACCTGGGAGCCATTGCAATTTACCAAGCTCCTTAACTACTGTTAGAGGTCACTGGCTACTTGGACTGAATGTGGCAACTGCAGTTGTAAAGACGTAGTTTCCATAGGCCAACTTTTGCTGCAGTTAGGAAACTAAGGAGTGGTCCTGCATTTTGGCATTCCAATGGGAGCTGTCATTGAACCTAAAAACATAAGTTAATTCTGTATGGGCCTTGTTATTTCTTTGACGATTAAGTAGATATAATTTATGGCATCTTAGCTACCAAGAAATAGTTCCAGCAACTTCCTTTCTACTTCAAAAATACAATGAGGATGCTTTTCTATCAGCTCACAAAAATATGTATATTTATTTGTTGTTTTGTTTATTTAAAAGGCATTTACTTACTTGAGCTCATACTGTGTACCAATTTTTGTACAAGGCCCTGGGGATTTAGCAATAGAAGACTCAGTTCTACCGTTGAAGGACTTTTCAGACAAGTAGGAAGATCGATGAATGGATACTTTCCCTTCTGTGTGATTTTCTGAAGGTGATCACAGAGAGCTGGGGAAGCAGAAAAGACATGGTACTTAATCCAGATGAGCAATCAGAGTGTGTCAGAGGGAGGTGCTGAATGAGCTATGTTTTGAGGGTAAGTAGGAATAGGCCACATTAAAGGGATGGGCATATCAAACTGAAGGGGCAGCAGGAACACGGGCATGTGGGAGTCAGGACACATTTTTGTTAACTGCAAATAGGACTTAAGGGACAGATGAGACAAAGCATGGAAAGCAGAATATAGAAGCCGCAGCACCTTCATGACTTGCTGAGAAATTTGGACTTGTCCCGAAGGCCGTTTAAGAGTCTCCATAAGGAAGGTTACTGACCAGATTCGTGTTATTGCGGGATAACCCTAATTGTTAGAAATGAATAACCTTAATTTCAAAGGTAGTTGTTCACTTGAATTCATTGCTAAATGCCAATTCACCTACTCATTAAGCTTCACAAGAACTTAGTTACTAAGTATACTTAGTTACATACTATAAGTGAGTTAATATTTTAAAAGCACTTAAAACAGCGCTGGGTATACTGTAAGCACTATGTGAGTTTTTGTTAAATAACATTAACTCCCTCAGGTTGCTTAAGTACTATTTAGAAATTGTATGACATCACATTAATGCAAAATGGTGCCCTAGTTACCCGAATTTAACACAGTCCCAGAAGTAAGTTACAAATTACTCGAGTTTACGTAACTAAGTGGAATTTAACGGTCCTAGAGATGGAAGAAACCTAATAGGTCATCTAACCTAATTCAAGAATTACTTCTCACCTGGTAAGATCGAGTCATTAACCTAGAGTGAGGAAACCAGTAATATATTCCCTGATGTTTCAGAAACCTCATAAGAACTGTGATGGTATAAAACAGATAATTTTACTTTTAATGTGTTGTTATTTCAGTTTTCATCACTAAATGGAATAGCACTTTTATTTTTGGGAAAAAAAATTTTCATTCTAGTTCTGTGGAAATACTGGCAATTAGATTGATGTGAAATAATAATTCTGTTGATATGAGTCCATATGGTAAAAGATTTCTTTACTATATGGCCAATTACTTGAATGCATACTTTATTTTCATCCTGAGTTGGATGATTGGCCCAAACTGAAGGCTTATTGTGTCCTAAAGTCCTAGAAATGGTAAGTCAAAGAAGTGATATTTGATTATGGGTAACCTTGCTATCCTGAAGATTGTCTACCTAGTCTGAAGTCATCTTGGTCTTGTAAAATAGCACTCACAACTAGAATATTCAAAATATTCAGTCTTTCTTCTGACTTGAAAATGTGCTAAAAAATTGTATGTTTGCAGACAATAGGATAAAACATATTTTTAACCCGATACCCCCATGGGCAAGATACCACCTACCAAGTCCTACTGATGGTTTCATACTGATGATCATGTAATTGCTATTTTTAAGGAGAAGCACCTTGATGGCTACTCCCTTTTTGCTAGCCAAGCATGATAGATTTACCGTGGCATCAAAATTAGGTTATTTGGTGGTTGATTTTGATGTGTGGTTACCCCACCCATTTTCAATACCTTGTTTTGCAGCCCATGATTGTTTCTCTACAAATAGCAGAACTTCATTTTCTTAGAAGTCTTTGTTGTCAGCGAATAGACAGGCTACGTATTTTTTTTTTTAATCTCATTGCCTGGAAGGTGTTGCAGTTTCTCAAGTGGTCAGCCAAGCGCCAAGAACATGAGTCTACCATTTATTAGAGTTTTGATAATCTGTAATGATTGGGGAAAATTCAGAGTGGTCACAGGACGGCAAGCGGTAGGTAGCTGTGCTCCATTTTTATGAGGGTATTTATACATCTGCCTGAGCGTGGCTGAGCTGTACTTAAAATCGGGTTGTTTCACTTGGGAGCCCTGAGTCAGCTTGACTGTAAATTGTCTGCAGTACTGCTTCCTGGGCGGAAAAGGAATCCTAGGAGTTACAGCTTTAGAAATATTTAGCAAGGATAGCACAAACAGCTTCTTTTTTTTTCTTAATGTGCATTTGTTAAACCCAAGTAGCTCAATATTGATCAACTTTTGCCACCCATCAAAACTTTGTTCTGCTGCTGCTAGAAATAGGAAGGAGGCA